CTAACATTTTGTTCAATTTATTCGCACATCTCCAATACATTGCTTTCCACCGCCGGCCTGCAGTCAAATATGGGCCTTATTGCTCTTTGTTACACTACTTCCACATTTTCCGCCATAAATTGTTCAATTTATTTTAATATTTTGCCGATTCATTACATCGCATCCTGCCAATTAACACAAACCATTGCCTCTTTTCGCATTCATTTAATTGCATTAAAATATGACCTTGTTTCAATATTCAATGAAAAATATATGCCCATATCTGTATATATTTTACTGAGACACACACACCCACACAAAAATCTGTTGTATCTTTTCCGGCGTCGCTCAAAATGATTGATTTTAATTAACAATTAAACATTAACTAATTGTATGAAAATACATACAAGTTTATGAAAATGACAGATATTACCGTGTCGTGTCCCTGACTATAGCCTGGCCCGGCCTTAATTACAGGTGGCCAATTTTTAGTGTACTGATAGTGAACGGGGCGGGGGACAAGGAGAGGTAACGATTTTATTGGACAAACAAAAGTGTTTTCAATTAAAATGTTACACAATTTGATTGATAGCCAAATACGAGAATGTATAAATTATATGGTTGGTGGACGACCGGCCGCATTCTGCCACAAATGAGGATAAATGGTTCAATGGAGGAGGAGGCATGAATGGGTGAGTTATTGTCTGGGCATGTGGATGGATGGGTGGATGTGTGAGGTGAATGCATGCACGTATAGATATATGTATGGAAAACTGGAAGGTAGTGGAGCAATATTGTTGATCCTGACTTTTGGGGGGTGGTATTTTGTGTCCATACACCCAAACAAACCAACACACACACAACCAAAATACTTTCACACATACCAACAATTGCTTATTTTCAATTGGCTATTTGTTCAACGTAATTGGTTTGTTTTGTTCTCATCGACAGGGGTATTCGATTAAAATCATTTGATTAATTTTTCTGCAAATGTTCAATCACCCAAAAATCAATGAAAAAAACAGGCAAAAGAGAAGAAAAATTGATGTAGGCTAAACACAATCAAAATCAATCATCATCATCGTCATCGTCATTATTTTCTGTTGCAAACTGTTGCCATTTGTGTATTTTTTTCTTTTTCAGAAATTAATTTAATGACTTGATTGTTTTCAATCCAAGGCTGGTGATTTAAAAAAAGAAAATGGAAAATAATGGTGTTAAATTGATTTTTTTTTTTTTGGAAATTCAAAATTAATTACCATATTTTAAAACAGAACTCAATAATAGGAATTTTTGGGGACTGTATGGTATATCTTTAATATTTTGGTTCCTAAGGGCATATATCTGACATGACCAAAATTTGCCTCACTGGAATACCTATCTTTAGACGATATTTGATTCAGAACATTCGATCCCGCAATGTACGTCAGTCTAAGTTGATTCAAACTAGCGTATTGTAATATGTTTATGATGCTTAGATGGAGTTCGAAAATAAAAAAATTCAGCAATTATTCCGATTTGGTTCATTTTTAATCCAGCACGCATTTCGTCCACCACAAAAGTCAAATTATTAAAAACGTTAGAATCTCAAGATCTCCGATTTGTTCACGTTTAATTCATGTGGTTATAAAACGTTGACCAAATGCTAAGATTTTTCTTTGGAATAACATGCCAAAGACTCATGTATTCTTCCAAAGGATTTTATGCCAACATCCCGTTGTTTTGCCGAAATATTTCTAAACGATTTTCTGACAAGAAATTTAAAATATCCCAGCAAGTGCCCGGTATTTCGTCAATTCTATCTTAAAAAAGGTCTAACTTAAAATGTTAAGATTTGTTTCACCAGTTCATTTTAGAACTCAAATAGAAAAAATTGTTCAATATTTCTTGGACAAAACTTCATGCATCGTACTAACTTTTCAGTTGCCTAAAATAAGCTCCCTCTCTCTTACACAGATATCAACAGTGACATCCATACCAAATTTCAGGTCTTAGCTCTATTCCTTCACCCAATACCCAATTTAGTACTACTAAGTACTTTTCGTACAATAACAGTACACATTTTCAAAACAATCACCAAATCTCATCTTCAGATCCCAACAGTGACCCTATGTCAAATTTCAGGATTGCAGCTTTTTATACCCTCCACCATACTGTGGAGGGTATATTAACTTTGTCATTCCATTTGTAACTCCTTGAAATACTCATGTCAGATCCAACAAAGTATATATATTCTTGATCAGCGTAAAATTCTAAGTCGACAGCCATGTCCGGCTGTCTGTCTGTCTGTCTGTTGTAATCACGGTATCTATCGAACGAATTGAGATAGAAGTCTAAAATTTTACACACGTATTTATTTTTCCAGTAGGCAGGTTAAGTTCGTAAATGGGCTATGCAGGTCGACGTCTTCGTATAGCCCCCATATAACGGTACCTCCCAAAATTCGGTATTTTGATGATTTTAGCGCCATTATTCACCGGAATTGTTTCAAATTACGTATTTAGAGTTCGTAATGGAAACTACAGTCTGTGACAGAAAAATGTCTATGCAGGTCCAGGTCTTCATATAGGCCCCATATATCAGTACCTCCCTATATTCGGTATTTTGACAAGTTTTCTTACAATACCCACCGAAATTGTTTGAGATATCGTATTTGACGTTAGTAATGGATGCTATGTGCCTGTTACAGAAAATTGTCTATGCTGGTCCAGGTCTTCGCACAGCTCCGATATAATGGTACCTTCCTACATACGATATTTTGATGATTTTTAGCTACATTATTCACCGTTTATTCCAAGTTTTGAATTTGATTATGGTAATGGCTAATGGCAAACAATGCCTATGTAAGTCCACGTCGTATGGACCCCAATATTACGGGAATATTCGGTATTTTCAAAATTTAACAGAATTTTTTAAGGATTTTATTTTTTTTTTTAAATTTCCAAATTCGTTCCAAATGGTGGAGGGTATTCAAAGTTTGGCCCGGCCGAACTAATTGCTTTTTAACTTGTTAATTTTACCCAATATCAAATGAAGTATCATTTAGTAAAATTATTTATATACCCAAAAACAGCTCCTTTCCACAATCACAGACACCAACAGCGACATCTATACAAAAATTTGGGATTTTAACTCTATATCTTCAACCAATACCATCTACCTTTCGTACTATTATAGGACTCATTTCCAATACCAACTCCATATCTCAATTTCAGATACCAACAGAGAGGATTCCAGCATTATTGTTTGGCCCAATTCCCAATTTAGTATCACTTAGTACTTTTCGTACAATTAAAGTACACAAAACCATTTTAGTATCTAAACAACAGATACTAACTAGTGACCTCTTTATCAAATTTTGGGATTTCAGCTCGATTCCTTCATCCAATACCAAATTTGGTATTTTTTCTAAATAATGGTATTTTTTTGTACTTTGTGTACTATTATGGGACACATTGCCAAAGCCACCTCCATGTCCTAACCATAGACATGAACAGTGACATCCATATCAAATTTCATTAATTCAGATCTTTTCTTTTCACTAATACCAAATTAAGTACCACGTAGTACCATTTTCAAAACCACCTCCATGTCTTAACCACAGACACTAAAAGTGACAATTATGTCAAAATTTATGATTTCAGCCCTTTTTCTTCGGCCAGTATGAAATTTAGATTTATTTAGCATTTAGACACATTTCCAAACCACCGCCAAATTTTAATTCCAGACACCAAGAGATACCTCATTTCGAATTTGAGTATTCCAGGCCTATCGTTTGACCAAATGCCAAATATAGTACCATTCAGTACCTATCGTACAATTATAGTACACATTTCCGAAACAACCTTCATATGTCCAGGCTACACATGAACAGCCACTCGAATACCAAATTTCAGATTTCAAGCACCCATTACCAAATTGTAACAAATATAGTACTATTTAGTACTTTTCGTGATAAATATGTAATACGTATTTGCAAAATCACCTTTTTATTACAAACCCACCACGAACGCGGACCCTTACACGAATTTCTAAATTACAGCTCCATCCATTCACCCTAAACCAAACCGTACCAAATTTAGTACCATTTAGTACAATTCGCACACATAACAAACTTTTCTAAAACCACAACCATAAACTTAATTTCTTCTCATTAATTGCTTCTCATACCAAATGTGAAGTTCTTAGCCCTTTTCGTTCATATTACACCAAATGGTACCATTTTAGAAGTTTAGTACCATTTTAGAACTTTTCGGAACCTTAAAGTTGAAATTTCCAAAAACCCTTTGGTGCGTCTATCTTGTACTCCGTTAGTGACTATCATTCCAAAATTTTGAATTCTAGCTCTGTTTGTCCAAAATTCAATTTTTAGTACTTGTCGTATGCTTTCAGTACGAATTTCAAGAACCCCAGCCTTATCACACGCGTACGTATCAATCCTTACCCTCGTGAAAATTTTCAAGATTCCACCTTTAACTGTATCGTCTAGGCGTTTAGTCAGTCAGTTATTTCACTGTATATTATGTATACCAAAATGGTACCACATTAGAAGTTTAGTACCATTTTCGGACTTTTCGCAACTTTAAAGTTGGCATTTCTAAAAATCTTTTGGTAAATCTGTCGTGCACTTCATTATTCCAAATTTCGGAATTCTAGCTTACTTCGTTTCTTCAATACAAAGTATTAATCTTTTAGTACATTTTCGTGATTTTTGCAACCTTTTGTGTGAATTTCTAAAAACCCGCATACGTAGCAAAACTAAGCTTGTGCAAAATTTCAAGATTCTAGCTTGTTTCGTCTGAGAGTTGATGCTCGGTCGTCAGTCAGTCAGTTATTTCAATACTCTTCCTAAAACTGTGATTCTAAGTTAATGTATTCTCGAGGTCAAAAGCTGAGCTTAGTATCGGTCAAAAACCCTACCGAAAATTTCCCAGCAAGAATAGCTTTTGTAAAGATTTAAACAAAATACGAACATATTTAATAATTTCTAGATTCGCATAAAAATGCCAACTAATACTCACTTCGATCATATTCCAGTTTGAAGCTCGAACGTATATCATCCCCCGCCAAGGGATCTAGGCGAAACGTAAACGGTCCCGCATTCCCTCTGGCTCGATCATCCGCATCCTTGGCGGCCACCTCGAGAATTTTACGCGGGCTAACATTTTCCGGCAGTACAGGACGATAGTCCTCCTTAAACACCGGTGCATTGTCGTTGACATCTTTTACGATTACCGTTAATGTGGCAGTTGCTGTTCGCGGTATGGCACCATCATCCACCGCGAGAATTTCCAAATGATGCCTATCCGCAGTTTCACGATCCAGTGATCTCTGTATGCTCACAGCACCCTTATCACTGATGGCAAATTGACGTTTACGATTTGTGGCTCGAACCAGTTTATAGCTAACCTTACTCTTGCCACCCTGATCGGCATCGGTGGCCTTGAATTGTTCCAGCACGATACCGACTTTGGTGTCCTCGTACACTGACACCTCTATGCGGTCACGTTCAAAGTGTGGTGAATTGTCATTTATGTCGCGGAGTTTCACCACCACCCACGAATAGGCTAGATGATATTTATCACTGTCATTGTCACCCTTATCGTTGACCTGTATGCGAAAACGAAAACCTCCACTCTGCATGGGATCTTCGTAGTCCAGGGGTTGTACGATTTTCAAGGAACCCGTACCATCATTGTTGCGTATCATGGCAAATTTATCCGAACCCAAGCCGCTGTTGGGCACAACTTTATATTGGAAGCTATTTGTTTCATCCTCATCCTGCACTGTGACCGTGAGTATGGGTGTTTCGGGTATATATGTTCCATTTGTTTCATCCACCTCTGTAAACCATTCATCCTTGGTGAACATGGGTGGCATATCATTTAAATCCTTGACTCGTATTGAGGCAGTGCCTGTACCCTTAAGGCCACCACCATCCATGGCCACAATTTGTATGGAATAATCGGGAGTTCGTTCCCGATCCAGACAGCATACTGCGGTCTTGATGACTCCCGTCTCAGGTTCAATTTCGAAAATCGGGGCACCTGTCTCCTCTTCGATGACATTTTTCTCTATCGAATAGATTAGCTTGGCATGGGTACCTTCGTTGGGATCATCATAGTCGACGGCTGACATGGTCATAACCGGCAGACCGGCTGTGCCATTTTCGGTGACATTACCATAGTAAATGCCCTGAGGAAATTGTGGTGTATTGTCATTGATATCTTTGAGATTTACTTGGATGTCGGCATAGCCAACAAGGCCTTCACCACCTTCGTCCTGGGCGAATACGGTGAAACGCCATTGGGGTCGGCCATTGGGTTGATCACGATCAAGGGGCTGAAAAGAGAATTCAGAAAATTAATTTAATTTAATTTAATTTAATTTGAAGAATGAGAATTAAATTTTGCCCTATTTTTTAAGATTTTTTTCGAGGATTTTTTGACAAGAAATTCTCGGATTTTTATGAACATTTTCAGTGGCAGAAATATTGGATGTTACTTAACTTAATTTTTTTTTAAATGATTTGTTGACTAAAAAATGATACATTTCATAAACAATTTCTAAAAATCTTCCTAATTATCGATTGCAAATTTTAAATATATTTTTCAAAGTAAATGCTTATTAGAATTACTTTAATTTATTTTGAGGGGTTTGAATTTATTTTTTCCTCAATTTATTAAATTATTTTGACAAGAAATTTGGATTTTTTAAGGAAACTTTTTCAATGGCAGAAATATTAGATATTTAAGATTTTTTTCAATGGTTTTTTTTAATACAAACTTTGTTTATTTTTAGGAAATATCTTAAATGACCTCCTTACTAGCTATTGGAAATTTTAAATACATTTTTGAAAGGAACACCTGACTTGAAGAATTTGAATTTATTTTTTCCTAATTTTTTAAGTTTTTTCTTTTTTTTTTTCAAGATTTTTTGACAAGAAATTGAGATTTTTAAAAGAATTTTTTTTTATTTATTTTTTTTTTTTTGACTAGATTTTTTTATAATTTTTGACAAATTCTTAAACTAGGAATAAAAAACATTTTTCAAAGGAACTTTTGGCTAAAATTATTTTAATGTAATTTGAGAGATTTATTTTTATTTTATTTTTAATTATATTTCTTTATTTTTAACATTTTTTTGACAATTAATTGTGATTTTTTTGGAAAAATTTCAATGACTTCGATTAGAAATTTTGATTATTTTTAGAAAATGTCTTAAAGGACTTCCTAACTATCAATTGTAAATTTTAAAAACATTTTTCAATCATTTTTTCCTGATCAGAATTATTTTAATATAATTTGAAAGATTTAACTGGATTTTTTGCCTCATTTTTAGAAGATATTTTAATTGTTAAGGAAAGTTTTCAATACGAGATTATTTAGAATTTTTTTCAATATTTTTTTGGCTACAAAATTTGTTTTTAGAAATTTTCATAAATGTAGGAGGCCATTAGCATTTGAAAATTGTAAAAAACTTTTTTAATGAACTTCTGATTAGAATTGGTTGTGTTTTTTTAGAATTTCCTTCACTAGCTCCTTACAAGGATTCTTGATTTTTTAAGAACATATTTTAAAGGACTCCATTTGTTTGATCAAATTAATTATTTGATTTAATTAAATTTAATGGAAAAATATAAATATTTTTTTTTTTAATTTTTTCTTTTTTATGGACCTTTTGACTAGAAATATTGAATTCTTTAAAAAAATATTTTCAAGGTCCTCCTTGTTGATATTTTTTTAACAAAATTTCTTAATTTTTTAAGCAGCTCCTCACAAAAATGTTAGCATTTTTTGAGAACTTCCGGCATTTTAATCGAATAAAATTTAATGAAAAAATTCAATTTATTAGGATTTGTTAAGTACCTACTGACTAGAGTTTTCAGATTTTTTGCTAACTGGGAATAGGGACATTTTATGAAATGTTTGCAAGGTTCTCTTCAGCAGATATTTTTTTGAATTTCTTGAATAAACCGCTAAGCTAGAAATTGAACTTAAGAAACATCTATTCAAGGAAGACCTGATTAACATTCGTGGAGGTTTCTAAGAACAAATTCAACAGCTCCTGCTTTTTATAAGAACAATTTTTTCTAGGACCTCCTAACTTTTGATTTAATAAAATCTTTTGAAAGTATAGAACCATATTCCTCATTTTTTTAAGGCCCTTTTGACTGGAATTCGCGAATTTTGAGGTATGTTTGGTGACTTGTTTGTTTGCAATATATTTTCAAGGACTTCCTGACTTGAAATTGAGATATTTTGAGAAAAGTTCCTGATGGTCCTGAGGATGAATTCATGAAGGTTTTATGACAATATTTCAAGCAACTTCTCACAAAAATAGGCGAATTTCTTAAGAACCATATTCCTTTTCCCTTTTTTCAAATACCTCTTGACTAAGATTTGCAAAATTGGAGGGATGTTTCGTTGACGTGAAATTGTTGATTTTTTTTAATATATTTTCAAGGATTTCATTATTGGAAATTATTGTATTTTGAGAAAATTTCCCGAAGGACCTTCAAAGAGATCCTGATTAGAATTGCTAAAATTAAAAAAAAAATTCAAGCAGCTGGAATTCGTAAATTTTTTTAAAACTTGTTTCCAAAGATCTCCAGCAGTTGGGTTGATCACAATCAAGGTGCTGGATGGGGATGGAAAAGATTAATAAAGAAATCGAAAATTATTCGTTGTTCTTTTTTAGGATCTTCTAATTATGCGTTGTCAGGATTTTTTATGACAGAAAATAATATTTTTATACCCTCAGCAATATGGCTAGAGAGATCATACATTATTTAATGCGGTCAAAACGTGCCTTATCTAAATAACGATTTTAGACCCTAGGTCTCATTGGCTCAAATCCGTTTCAGGACATTCGGAATCGATCTACAGATATCCGCCCGTCCGTCCATCTGTCTGTCTGTTTGTTATTATCAAACTAAGATCGAGTTCAGATATGGGCAATATCGGTCCGTTTCTTCTGGCGCCTAACCAATAATAGATCGAATTTTAAAAAAAAATTACTGCACGGAAAGAGAAAGGATGATCTACTCCTCCTCCAATTTTGCAAATCCTAACGTTTCCATCAGGCGCGAAAATGGACAATACCCGTCCACTACATAAACTATCTCCCCAAAAAGTCAAAACTCTTATAAAATGTAATGTAAGAGTCCGATTGTCTTCAAATTACGCACAATATTTTTATTAACCTAAGGTCTGGTGTGAAGATGGAATATATCCGTCTACTCCTTTTGGTACCTCCCCCATATAAAGATGGCAGGGACCGAACCATTCCTTCTGGTACCTCTTCCACAAAAAGTCAACGTTTTAAAGAACAAAAACGATTATCAAAAATAAGCATCCGGTTATCTTCATATTTCACAGATCCCATTAGTGTTACTAACCCAAGATCTGCTATGAACATGTGATATATCGGCTCACACCTTCTGCAGCGTCCCGCACAAAGGGTCAAAATTTGGAATATCCATGAAGTTCGTGGAACGCGAAATTGACATCCGATTCCATTCAGACATGGCTGAGGGATACATTTGTCGCCAAAACCGACTGATACTTTTAAACTGTTCTTTTTTTGTAACTGTTTTCGAGTACCCGATTTTAAATTTCGATTATTTAGAATTTTTTTATCCTCCATCTTTCATAGTATGGAGGGTATACTAAGTTCGTCATTCCGTTTGTAACTCATCGAAATAATCATTTTAGACCAAAGAAAGTACAAATATTCTTGACCAGCGTAAAATTCTAAGACGATTTAGCCCTGTCCATCTGTCCGTTTGTTGTAATTACGCTACAGTCTAAACGAATTAAGATAGGAAGCTAAAATTTTGCACAGATCTCTCTTTTGTCTGCAGGCAGGTCAAGTTCGAAGATGGGCTATATCGGTCCACGACATCGTATAGATCCCATATAACGATGCCCCCCGATATTCGGTATTTTGATGATGTTAGCCACATTTTTCAGTGGAATTGGCTGAAATTCCACACAAGGAGTCCCTTGTGAGTACATACATTGTCTATATAGGTCCACGATATCGTATATCCCCCATATAACGGTACCCCCTATTATTAGGTTTTTTGATTATTTTACCCACATTTTCCAACGGAATTTTCTGAAAATCCACACAAGGAGTTCCTTGTGGGTTCTTTATACCTCGGAAGAGAATGATCTATTTAGGTCCACGATATCGTATAGCCCCCATATTTTGATGATTTTAGCCACATTTTCCAATATAATGATCTGAAAAACCACACAAAGTGTTCCTTGTGAGTACTCTACCCCCTGAAGGAGAATTGTCTATATAGGTCCACGATATCGCATAGCCCCCATATAACGGTACCCTCGATATTCGGTTTTTTGATGATTTTAGCCACATTTTCCAATATAATGATCTGAAAATCCACACAAGGAGTTCCTTGTGAGTACTTTACCCCCAGACATAGATTTGTCTATATAGGTCCATCGGCACCTTTCGATATTAGAAAAATTTTTTCTAAATTTTCTAAAATGTTCTAATTCGTTCCAAAAGGTAAAGGGTATTCAAAGTTTGGCCCGTCCGAACTTACTGCTTTTTTACTCGTTTTTAAATAATCTTCATTAAAGGTGCTTCTGATTAGAGTCGTAGAGCTTTTAGGAAAAATATTGAAGCCACTGCTGATTAGATATATCTTCTGGACAAATACAATTAGTTTGAGACTAAATTTGCAGTGAAAATGTAGTCGCTGGCAGTATAGTTACGACTGGTATGTGTTATTCCCAAAGAGTTGCAAATATTAGATCATTTATTAATTTCGAGAGAGAAGTAACGAAATCAAATGAAAACTCTTTTTAACTTTTTTTTAAGGACCTTCCTATTTCCATTGTACAAATATGACTTCCTTCCCAGTGTCAAATATATTTTGTACATACATAAAAATCCTTTGAATTTTGTTCTCCATTATTTTCGGTCATTGTTCTCCAAGTCATTTAAACAAAGAAACCATTGAATCCTTGTCAACAATTTCCCCAAAGAACCCCATTGTGAGCTAATAAAAAGCGTATGTTGTACATTCTCATGTATCTAAAAAAGTAAAAGCTCATGTTAACAACACACAATAACATTAAATTACCAAAAAATGTATAAAAATAAAAAAGAAGCGGAATAACCTCAACACTTTCATTACGGTAACCATGATGAGATTATAAATGGCTACAACTAAACAATGGACAAGAGTCATGTTAACATTGAAAACCATTTCATTTCACATTCTACACTTTTGTTATTTTTGTTTTTTGCTTTGTTATCCGAAATAGAACATGATTTTGTACTTAGAACAAATAATGCATTAAAACTAAGTAACAAAGAAAGAAATGGAAAGTGTTGATATTTTTTTTTTTTTGGAGAAGGGGGTATGAATACCAAGAACAGGAGTGACCACCTCACCAGGTTTTTTGGGAAAATATGTGAGAGAAAATTTCCTGGATAGATACTCGGTTTCAGGAATGTACAAAGAGAAGCATCAATTGTGAAAAAATAATCAAATTCACCAGAAAAAAATGGGAAACCATTGAAAAATATTCCCAATAATTCTATCATTATACCTTTATGACATCAAGATTCTACAATAGCGTTTTGAAAAATAACAAAAGAAAAAGCAATGTCAAATTTTGAATCTGAGTGTAGATAAAATTACAAAAACTAGTAAGGAAAAGTCAAAAGTTGGGCGGGGCCGACAATATGATACCCTATACTACTATGTGTATTTAGTAGAGCTTCCATAACAAAAAGTTTATATTGGAGATTTTTGTGAACAATGAACCAAATAACATTGATGTATAGTGCATGATATGACTTCGACAAGGATTATATTTAAAAAAGTATTTCTTCGAGCAATAGATATATCGGAAAATGGTAAAATTGGGTTGAATATTAAAAAAAAACTACTCAATTTGGGCTGATGTTACATATATGGTAAGCAATAATCGTAAAATCGGATAAAGATGTATATCGAAGCTACATAAAGATCTGAATCGGGCTGCAAAAAATTTGGCAGAGATATTTTCGAGCCGTATCTGATGCCCGGTATCAAATATCATTGTAGTAGAGGGCATATTACGCATCTGAGGGACCTAAAATCCCATATTGGATGAAATATATACATGAGAACTCTAGCCGATTTTCTCCAAATTTGAAGTACTAGTTTCTGGGATGAATACGGTCGGAATTGCCAAAACTAACTCACTTTGGGCTGATATTAACCATTTGGTGCATAACAAACTAGAAATCGGTTGATAATTATGAGAGCTATATCTATATCCAAATCTGAACCGATCTCGACATAATTTGACAAAGGTGTTTTTGAGCTGTAGCTATATTTGACCAATTTTCACCAAAAATTAAGTATTTGCTTCCAGTCTGAATTCCGTCGAAAGTGCCAAAATTCAGTCCATTTGGGCTGATATAAGCCATTTGGTGCACAATAAATATGATACCGGATAAATATATATGTGGGAGCTATATCCAAATCTTATCCGATCTCAGTAAAATTTGAAAGAGGTTTTTTTGGAGCTTCATAAGTTATATCTTTGTTGTGGAGTTCATATTACACAAGTGGGAGACTTAAAACCCAAATCGGATCAAATATATATATGGGAGTTATAGCTATATCTGAATCGATTATGACCACATTTGATGTATTTGCTTCTTCACTGAATTCGGTCGGAAATGAAAAACAATTCATTACAGAAATCGCATAAAGGTATATATCAAATCTGATCTCAGTAAAATTTGACAGAGGTATTTTGAGCTTCATAAGTTATCTGATACCAAATATTTTTGTTGTGGAATGCATCGGACAAAACATATATATGGAAGCTATAGCTATATCGGAATCAATTTTCTCCAAATTTGATGTACTAGCTTCTAGACTGAATTCGGTCGCATGTGTCATTTAGAGATATTGGTCATTTGGAGCACAATTAACCCGAAATTGGTTGAAATTAATACAGGGTGAGATGAAAAAACCGCAACTAACTTCAGACTGCTGTCATTTATAAGCCACTCGTCCAACCGCTGTTAAAGTTATTCCAGTGACAGCTTATTATATTGTTTACAAGCGTACAAAAGCATTTTGGTGAAAATTTTTTTAGAAAAATAGTTACCCCTGATGGAGTTCAAGCGTGATAGTGTGATTTCTTTATATTTGACTGGAAAACCACAAGCGGCTATCGTTAGAGCACTCTAGCATTAAAATGTGAATAAATCCTTTGTGTCTCGCACCATCGCTCCTTGCCGTGATACTGGTAGCGTAGCCCGACGTCAAGGAAGTGGACGGAAGAAACCAGCAACATTAGCATAAATGATTCGAAAAGTAAATAAGCGACTTTATCGAAACCCTCGTTACAGTGGCCCGTGAGCTGAACATATCGCAATATTCCATTCGGCAAATATTGAAAAATGGGCTCGGGGTAGAGCCATTGAAATTCCAAAAAGTTCAAAAACCTACACCGGAACAGAAGGAAAATAGACTCAAAAGAGGTAAAGAATTGCTTCGCTTGGACGAAAGTGGTGAACTGTCGAATTTGGTTCTCCCCGATGACAAAACATTCAATGTCCAGCAGTTTGTAAACAAACAAAATGATCGTGCTTACTTGCCATAGAGGTCAGTTGAAAATGTGCACCTTCGATTGGCCACGAGAACTCAAGCGCCGGCCATGGTGATGGCGTGGGTCGCCATTACAGCCGATGGTCGCTCTCCGCTCGTATTAATCGACCGTGGCATCAGAATAAATGCCGAATATTATGACGAAAATATTTTGGAGGGTGTATTATAGCCTTGAGCACGCAAACATTTTGGCCGCATATCTTGAACATTACAACAGGACTCAGCACCATCGCACTCAACACACGACACCCAAGAATGGTTACAAAATGATGTTCCTCGCTTCATTTCCAGCTCACAATGGTCGCCAAAATCTCAGGATACCAATTCGTTAAACTATTGGGTCTGGAGTATTTTGGAAAGCTATGTTGGCACTAAAAAATACCAAAGTGTTGATCACCTCAAGCAAGCGCTTCGTCGGGAATGGACCAAAATACCACAGAGCAACATTCGGGCAGCGTGTGATGGTTTCATTGGCCGCTTAAGGCCATAATTCGTGCTAAAGGTGACCAATTCGGTGACAAATCTAAACTTATTGTAAAATTTGATGTTATTTCCGAAATTTTTTGCGTTCATTCAATAAAATTAAAAAAAAATGTAGAAATTATGGCGCATGACTTTGTTGCAGTTTTTTATCTCATCCTGTGTATGGAAGCTATAGTTATATTTGGTCAAACGTGCCAAATTTCAGGTCATTTGGAGATATTGGGCATTTGGTGCACAATTAACCCGAAATCGGTTGAAGATATGGGAGCTATATCTAAAGTTGAACCGATTCTCATAAATTTCAACAGGATTCGTCTTTGGGCCAAATATATATTGTTAGAAAGACGTGCGGATGGACTGACTTGCATAATTCGACTCAGGAAGTGATTCTATGAAGATTCTCAAAAGGAACTATGAGTCCACCTCGCTTCCTTCTTCATGTTACAAATAAATGTACAAAGACATAATATCCTTACAACTTTGTGGTGTAGGGTATAAAAACAAAAAATAAAAAAAAAAAAAAAAATAAATAACAAGGTCGGCGCCGACCATTTGGTGCCCTACAACAATAAATAAATATGGTATGGTGTCGTAGGGTATAACAATTAAGCATCTGAATTCTATCAAACTTCGGCTCTTACATTTTTGGCCATCCCTGACAAATTCTGGTTTATTGTTTAAGAATTATTTTCGAAAATAATAAATTAGTCAAATAGGTATTAAATTGTTATGTTTTAACTCCAATACTTAAAACTAATATCAAGAATGTATAATTTCTCTCTCATTTTCTCTTACTTACCTTTAATACAAAAATATCGCCTGTTGTTCGATTTATATCAAATTTACTATTTGCTGTGTTGTCAGGATCAATACCCTGACCGGTGAGAAAATATACAATATTTATGGGTCTATCTACATCGCCATCGGTGGCAGTAACCTGCAATAAGAAGAGAAAGAGGAAGAAGTAAAATTAAAAATATATCACCCTGGTTCTTTTGGCAATAATACATTTTAATTAAAACGTTGAATATAAATCACTCCGACACAAGCATTCGACTACGAGGAGATATGAATTCATATCTATGTTCGGCAAACAAACAAAAACGGACTAAGTCCTTTATAATAAATATTTTTTTAGGATATATTAAATAAAAAGTACGTATATTAATAATTCAGTTGCATGATTTTAATAAAAATATATTTGGATTTTTTTCAAAGTTCATTTTGTGGATTTGAAGCATTTTTCCAAATTATCGGGAGAAATTCTGTGTGTGTATGTGTGTGGTCAGCATAATATTTGTATGACTTTCAACTGCGACATGTGGCCATGTACGTTTCATTTATTCCGTTATTTCATTTTTTTTTCTCCTCCACTTTTGCTGTCCTACCCCACTCTGGGATTATCCATGCTTATTGGCAATCACAATTACATTTATATTCACATTTTGCATCCGCACACACACACATACAGGATGTTGTCGGTGGTGGCGGTGTCACAAAAAACATTTTATTTCCATTGAAAAGGCCAGTAAAATATTTGTTAATTTTGAAGTTGAAAAGAGTAAAACAAAATATTTTCTCTTGTTTCCTCGGAAATTTATGACTGACTTTTATGGCCATAAAACCAGAGGAGCCACAGGATGCACTTGCCAGCTACACACACAGTCACGCACTCACACAGACACACACAAACACCCGTCCACTTAAGCGTTATAAAGTGTATCATGATTACTGCATTTCGTTCACTTATTACCGCAATTGCATGAATGGGCGTTCGACAACCGACCGAACGACCAACCGATAGTTGGATAATAAATGCACATTGTTTCAATGGAAATGGTGGAAAATAAAAACACATCATCATGATGTTGTAAAATTGAATATTTCTCTGTTTGTGATGTATATTTTGAAATGGGGGGAGGGGTGTGGCAAAATGAATGAAGATGAATTAATTCTTAAATTATTTCATTCGATTTTTTTTCAAGTATCCTCGGAGCCAGAAATATGAAGAGCATTATAAGGTATGCTAATTCTTTGAAAATCCAATATCAAGACGAGTTATTGCTATTCGAGAATGTTAAGAATGATGTCAATTGAAAAGGATGTAAGGTGAATTACTATTTGTGGTCGAATTTCAGGGTAAATGTTGGAGGAAAAATCCAAAATTTAAAAAGTTGGTTGTGGGGAATAACAGCTGGGAAAAATGTTTAAAATTAGTCAAGGAGGAGATTAAGATTTTCAAAAAAAAAAAAAAAAAGAAAAAAAAAAAAAAAAAATAATAATAATAATAATAATAATAATAATAATAATAATAATAATAATAATAATAATAATAATAATAATAATAATAATAATAATAATAATAATAATAATAATAATAATAATAATAATAATAATAATAATAACAACAAATAACAAAATATGGAGTAAGTTCCGAAGAAATGGGCCAATATTGTCCATTTCGTATTAGACCAAAATAAATATGATAAAAATATTACGACGTGCCGGGTTTGGATTATATTGGTTACTTTCTACACTTTATATGAGATATGTGATCATTTCTTGAAATTATTAAAATGTGCGTGAGATAAAAGATATTGCTGATCGAAGTATTGCATTTTCATATATATATAACCAATTTTATGCCGAATCATAAATTCCATATTCATTCAAGGTTTCTGGTTGAGAAAAATATTTAGATATAGAGAGTTGTAAAGGATCGCTGACTTGTTTCGCAAGTTATGACAGATTAAAGTGTTGAAAATTGTGGCCGTTTGAGGGTGAGGTACCAGAAGGCGTTATCAAAAATGTTTGTATGTGTGAAATTAGAAGGAAGTTGGATGCTTATTTCGTTTTCTTTTGGGTGCGTTGTTTTTCCAAATCATGAACCCTATGTGGGACAGGTAACACAAGAAATGGTCCGATCTCTCCCATCTTTATAAAATATTATGTGTTGATGGAAATATTGAGATGCACCAAGTCTTGAATGGAATCGGATGTTAATTCTGCTTTTTTAGAGCTTCACGGATATTTAAAATTTTGACGAATTGATGGGGAGGTACCAGGAGGAGTGGGACGAAAGATTTCATCTTTACACCCGATCTTGGAATGAAAATAATATTGTGATGTCTGTAATTTGAAGACAAACGGACTCTTACATCACATTTTACAAGAGTTATAACTATTCCAAACTGTGACCCTTTGTGGGAGCGTGGACCGATATATCCCATCTTCATAGCAGATCTTGCGTTGGTAGAAACAATGGAATGTGTGAAATATTAAGAGAATCCCATGTTTATTTCGAATCATATGATTGTTTTTGTAATTCTAAACTTTGACCCTTTGTGGGGGAGGTATCGGAAGAAATGGTCCGATCTCTACCATCTTTATTATAGATCTAGTGTTGATAGAAATATTGAGATTTTCCAAGTCTGAATGGAGTCGCTTGTTAATTTTGTGTTTAAGGAGCTTTATGAATATTCAGAATTTCGACCTTTTGTGGGGGAGTTACCAGAAGGAGTGGACCGATGTATTTCATGCTAACACCAGACCTTAGGTTAATAAAATTGTTGGGATGTGTGAAATTTGAAGACAACCGGACTACTACAACACATTTTATTAGAGTTGTAACCATTCAACATTTTTACATTTTTTGGAGGAGGTACTTGATAGAGTGGACCGATATTGTCCATTTTCGCACCTCCTCTAGAACTGACGCAAATATTAGGTTTTGCAAAGTTGGAGCCAAATCGGTTAATAGTTTCTCTTCTTGTGCAAATAATATATTTTTTAAAAATTTCGATCTTTTGTGGGGGAGGTACCAGATGGAGTGGAACGATATTGCTCATCTCCGAACTCGATCTAGGTTTGATAAAAATATTACGATGTACCAAGTTTGGACCAAATCGGATACTCCCTTCGAAAGTTATCGTTCGCACCATCCATCCATCCAGACAGACGGACGGACATCGCTAGATCGACTCCAAATGTCCTGAAAAGGAAGGTACCGTTATATGGGGGCTATACGAAGACGTGGGCCTGCACAGACAATTTTCTGTCTTAGGCTGTAGTATCCATTATGAACTTCAAGTACCAAATTTGAAACAATTCCGGTGAATAATGTCGCCAAAATCATCAAAATACCGAATATTGGGAGGTACCGTTATATGGGGGCTATTCGAAGAGGTGGACCTACATAGACAATTTTTTCATCACAGACTGTAGTTCGCATTTCGAACTCTAAATACGTAATTTGAAACAATTTCGGTGAATAATGACACTAAAATCATCAAAATACCGAATATTGGGAGGTACCGTTATATGGGGGCTATACGAAGATGTGGACCTGCACAGACAATTTTCTGTCATAAGCTGCAGTATCCATAGCGAACTTCAAATACCAAATTCAAAACGATTCCGGTGAATAATGTCGCCAAAATCATCAAAATACCGAATATAGGGAGGTACCACTATATGGGGGCTATACGAAGACGTGAACCTGCACAGACAATTTTCTGTCATAAGCTGTAGTATCCATAACGAACTTCAAATACCAAATTTGAAACGATTCCGGTGATTAATGTTGCCAAAATCATCAAAATACCGAATATAGGGAGGTACCATTATACGGGGCCTATATGAAAACGTGCACCTACATGTTCCATATACGAACTTAACCCGCCTACAACTATTACAACTATAAACATGTGTGCAAAATTTTAGCCTTCTAACTCAATTGGTTTGAAATGAGTATTTCGAGGAGATACAAACGGAATGACAAAATGAATATACCCTCCATAGTATGGTGGAGGGTATAAAATTTTTTCCTGGTTCAGTTTTTTTTTATTGTTCTCAACTTTAACATGCTTTTCCAAAATGTCTGGATTTTGAGCAAATCTCTAAACACAAATGCTTCTAAATTGTATTGTGAGCATTATTAAAATAACCAAAATCACATTTGCAGGACAATATTATAATGAGCAACTCAGCAGTTTTATTTAAATAACTATTTCGAAATATCTTCACCACTAACAATACTGGCTAGACTTTTGTCTTTAGAGTCCGCCACCACAAGTTATAACAATGTTGTGGCCTTAAACTTTTGTTGCATTCCAATTGTTTACTATTATTAGTTTTTTGCAAGGGAAGGTCCAAATAGTTATTATTTAAATTATAAATGTTTAGCAAATAAAGAAAAAAAAAACACTACTTTATTAATATGCAAAATAAGTTCAGCAAAAAAAAAAAAAAAAAAAAAACGTAATAACAGCAAAAATTATTATGAAAGAAATTGCTTTTGTTTGCCTTAACCCGCATTTTAAAATAGTGAAAGCGATTTTCGTCTTTGTGTGTGTGTGGGAGAGAGTTATTTTGCATTCAGCACAAAAAAAAAATAATATGCCAACAAAAAATGTGTATATGTGCAACTACATATGCACTTTTTTGTCAAGAGTATTGTAAAATTATTTAAGTGGTCCTGTGTGTAGTAGAGTTGTTGTTGTTGTTATTGTTGGTGGTCATAACAAAAATAGCCTTTTGTCGTCTATGGTCCAGTGTTTATTCTTGTTTGCTTTATTTTATTTATTTTTTTGTATACGAATTTTGTGTGAATGTGTGTGTGTGCGAAAGTGGTTTTGAGTTTTTGTCCTGATTGTCCTTTTTTATGTTTTTCATATATTTATGTGCATTTGTAGTTTTTCGTTATTTGCATGTGTAGTAGTAGTTGTTGTTGTTGTTCATAGGCAATTGTTGTGAACAACCATTTATAAATTCATAACAATTCAGGCGTTAAACCATGTTTTACCTTTTTAAAAATTCCTTTTTTTTGGAGGAGGAAATTTGAATAATTCTCTCTGTCCTGGTTTACGCAAAAGTGAAAAATTGCTTTAAATAATCATCATAATAATAATTCAGTATATAGAGTTTGTGTGTGTGTGT